AGGTTGTGTGGTGTGACTGTGAGGACAGTACGTCCTGAAAGTGGACAACAAGTCATTGTTGAGTAAAAGTCTTAAGCACATAATCAGCTGTTGTGTGTTGGTCTGATGGAGGGCCAGGGGTCTGCAGCCTGTGGTTCTTTGTGCAGGGGCTCGTTCAAGATTTGACCAAAACTAACATAAAACTGAAATTCTCTGGTTTGTATACCAACAACAAAAAAGGACTAGTTTTAGCCATTTTTTTGTCATTTCTTTTGAAAATACTGTATGTTCTTTTGTATTATAATACAAAAAAATATCAATAAATGTTAAATCTTTAAATATTTTTAGTGTAATGTGTGTCAGCCTTACTGACCAGAAAAGACGCCCCAAAAAACTTGAAGTGGCTCAATCACAGCAGGTTTTGCAACTCCGGATGTGTTTTATTTAGTGAGCGAAGGGGGAGAAATGGCTCTTATTTTGTAAAAGTTGCAGACCCCTGGTTTTGCAGTCAGTCGTACTGTCACTAATGTTCAGTTTAAAATAAATAGTTAAAGCCCAACACTGGGTGTGTTGTATTCCTGCACTGAGAGCGATTGAATAGATGACCTGAACATTCATTAATAAAGGCCTTCTCTGAGCACCAACAGATGGTGAGAAACTGTTTAAAAAGTTACCAATAACTGCCTGTCTGTTAGCAAAATACCTCATTAACCACTGGATGTGTTATATCAAAATGCCCAGTGCTTTTGAATCCAACCCAGTTTAAGATGGCTGCCTCAGTTAGACTGAGTGAGTCAGACTTCAAAACCACAAAGATAACAGCAGTTCAGTCAGTTTTACAGATGGTGCGCTAGAACCCGGTGTGGTAGTAGCTGAGAGTCATTCCCAGCACGTACTCCCAGTGCTACTTATTATTAGAGATTTTCACTGTAAATTTGGCATTAAGTGTGGACGTCTACACTGTTGGTCTTTTACTCTGATGAGTTTTAATGAATCACTCAATGATCATTGGATGCACGTCTACAACTGATTAAGTGTCCAGTCAAGATGGCTGCCACAGCTAAGTGACATTAACCAATACCCATACTGTTCTAACTCAGTCAGTTTGGCAGATGTTGGTTTAAAGTTTGGCGTGGTAGTAGCTGAGTGTCAGTCCTAACACATACTCTGACATCTTGCATCACGAGATGTAAGACATGACGTTTGACCAAAACCACTACAAATCTTTTAGCCTAAAACTCTGACACGACGAGTGATAAACATTCATTATAAATTAAAATGGTATCAGGACCATCGTCCACCATCACTGTGGTTCAGTTTTGTGTGAGCTGGGAAGCTGCAGCAGACCTCAGAGGTCCAGTGCAGTAGTGTGTCGGTACCAGTGGAGGTCTGTGGTCCGACTGCAGCAGCTCAGAGAATGGTTCTGGTTCCTCTCGTCTGAACGCTGAGCTCCAATTGAGGCCAGCGCTCATTAGCAGCCGTCCATTAGCCTCATTCTGCACATAACTGAACAGCCCCCCCATCATTCCCCCTCCCTGCACTTATTATGTCACCTACTATTGTCTGAAAAGTCCTGTGTGCCTTTTTGGGGAAGGGTTGGTGGGTGGGTGTTGCATGCTGGAAAATGACCACAAGAATAATGCAACTTATCCCTACTTCATGTTTATGAACGTTTTCTCTCTCTCTCTCCATACATGTGCACACACTCAAACACAACAATAAACATGCTGATAGGAGGGTGCTGTGGTTTTTGTCAGCTTGTGTCTGTCCTGTCAAGTGGACACTCTTGTCTTATAAGTCTCCTGATGGTTGCCAGTGATCAGTGTGAAGCTGCTGAGGTTGGGGGGGGGGGGGTGTCCAAATAAATACTCAGCAGACTCTGCAGTCCTACTCTGTGACTTTTGTTTAGCCAGTGTCACGCTGGGCTGTGACTGCTGGAGACCATTTGGTGAACAACAGTAAAATGTCTCAATACATTGATGGAGTTTGGAGTTTTGTTGCTTTAGTTTTCAACATGTTCAGATTTACAGGTCTCTCTTGTAAATGAGTCCTTGCGACTCAATGAGACTAACATGTATAAATAAAGGTTGAATACATTTTTCCCCATAATAGTCACAGATTTGTTGCAAGCATTTTAATTTTTTTAATTTAGTAACTGCATTAGCTCTCATTCTTGTAAGAACAATCCATCAGTAAAAACGGCACTGATGATAAATAATTATTTATGTAAAAAGAGTTTCAAATTATTGTTCAGTATGGTAAATTATAAACATTAGGGTGGATAGTAAGGTGGCTACAAAACAAGCCAAGGAGCAGTATGGACAGAGGTGGTTAGGATGTGGACAGAGGTGGTAATGTGTGGACAGAGGTGGTTAGGGTGGACAGAGGTGGTTAGGGTGTGGACAGAGTTGGTTAAGGTGTAGGCAGAGGTGGTTAAGGTGTGG